CAACACAAAAATAACACAGGGATTTCTCCTGGAATAATACCCTTGGCATTAAGTTTTCCCTCTTTCCGTCACTTTCTGGCCATGCCCAGCTCTGCCCTCCTGGAATGCAGCTGAGCGTCCTCCTTAGGTACGTATATGGCCCCCAATGCCATTGCACTTGATTCTGACACAAGCATTTAAAAATAGCTGTAACAATAACACACGGGCTCTGTTTCTCCTTTCCCTGCCTGTAGCAGAAATAGCATAGTGAGTTTATAACCTCCATCCACACTCGTTACCAGAAAGGGCTCAAAGCCTCCCTTTTCCCTATTGTCCTTTAAGGAAGTGATGAAAGCAGGGGGAAGGATGCACAAATGACTCTTGCAACCTGCCCTTGCTCCAGAGCCACTGCTGGAAATGGGGGACACATGAGCAGAAATGTTGTTTGGAGACAAGGGATTTACATCTCTGGAGCAAGTGGTTCCCTCGCTGCCCTGGCACAGGGGCAGGTAGGAACTAGTAGTTTGGATAGGCTCAGCCATGAGATGCTGCTGGTTTGTGGCTCCTATTTGCACCAGCAACTTGCAGAGTCCCGGGCTCTTTTGCACCTTTTCCATGTGTTTAGGTTGTGCCTGGGATTTGCCTCCATTCCCATTGGCCCCTGAAGAGCTGGGGATATGGTTTTGCCAAGATGCTCAGGGCTGCCACTGCTCTGTGAGCTCCTTCCATTTGTCCCCAGGCACTTTGCAGTATCCTGTTGATTTATTTGGATGTTGGCCTCTGAATGTCCATTGTGCCATGCTGCATCCTCTTCCATGGAGAGGTTTGCCTTTGGCTAATCGGGTGATAAGAGGGGGTGAGAGCAGCTGGGGCAGGTGAATGGACAGAGGCTGAGGGTTTAAAGTGCTGTTTCTGGAAACCTCCCTGAGCGTGGAGCTTTATCAGAGGTACCCCATGCATTTCTCTTCTGGAAGGGGAAGGAGAGGCTGGCAGAGATGGGAAAACACTGGCATCAGAGAGGGGACATGGAGAGGCAGGTGCCCCACAGGGTGGGTGTGAGGGCAAGATGCACCCCATGCTGGGGCTGTGCTCCTTGCTGCCAGCTGCAGGTGTCTCGCAGAGGAGGGCAGTTTGCTTTTGCCTTTGGAGGGTTTGGTTTAAAGATGAGGTTGGTGCAGAAAGGCAGGCATTACACCCTTGCAAACACAGGCTGGGGCTCGGTGGAGAGGTCCTTCCCCTCCTCAGCATGGAAGGTGGCAGCCAGGTAGAAAGATTGCTGCTCATCCGTGGCTCCTCCTGGGCAAATACACACCATGCTTTCATAAGCTTGTTAAAGATGCCAGAAAGCACATGGCTGGCCGAGAATAATTGCATAAACAAGGCTGGTGTTTACTGTGTGATTTAGGCCTTGTCCTAAGCAAGCAATGCTCCATCATTCCCTTCGGAAAGCTCTCTGAGCACAACAGTTATTTACTGCCTGTTAAACCGAGCTGCTACGCAAGCCCGGTTTGACTTGTTAATGACTTCAGCAACAGCAATTCATTCTGAAGAAGCAAATGATGAGAGTAAAATACCAACATCACCTTTCGGCATATGTAATTACTGGGTCAGGAGAGCTGCTTTGCTTCTGTGATTCACTGCCTGGGAGAAGCACGTGGATGTGACCAGCTGTGCTCGCCTGCGGCTTGATGAGCATTGGAGCTTGACCTGCACTCATCCTGGAGGGTGCTGAGAACCCACAGGCATCGTGGGGCTAGTGGCATAGCTCCAAGAAGCAGCATAGAGTGTGGGGAAGGGCCAGGTTTGCGCGAGAGCATCCTAGAGATGATGTTAAATCCTCTGGCTGCTGGGGTGCGTTACCTGCTCTGCCGCGCATCCCTTCACAATGGGAATTTTACTGCCTCTGGGCCTTTACAAACACGGTCACACTGCAACAAAATCAACCACCTCCTATCCTCTCTCTTTCTGCTTGGTGGCATGTGTCCAGCCTGGAGCTTGGAAGTCAGACCCTGCTGGTGGTGTCAGTGTGACTGGCTGTGTGGTCTCATCCTGACCCTGCATAGTGGAGGGGCAGGAGCATGGGCAGACCCCCAGGAACATGCACTCCAAGCATGTGCATCACACTGGGAGGAGCAGGGGGAGCCCCACCAGATGAAGGCAGCATTTGCCTGGGACCTATCTCTAGAGCTGCTGTTTGAGTTCAGCTGTCAGAGCGGGACCTTGGAAGCATCCTAGGGAGGGTTTATCTCAGGACACTTCAACAGATGCTGGATGAAACACAAGAAGGAGCAACATCCCTGGCTATGTGGAGGCTTTTCTCCTCCTCACTGCTGGCTCAGAAAACATGTGGCCATGTGGATCAGAAACAGCCCATGGCTTCTGGACTGAAGCATGGGCAGGAAGCTGCCCAGAGCAGACCAGCTCCAGCTTTGCTCAGCAACTTCATGGGGTGTCTCAGACCTCTGTTTGCACCCACAGACCCTGTCCTGGTAGTGCATCTCTTGCATTCCCACTTATCCTTAGCTAGTGGCTTAATGTAGTGCAAGTCACCTTGAGGCTGAAACAGCAGAAGCAGTTCTATGTAACTAGAAGACAGAAGCAGAAAGAGCTGCTGAGTACCATATGTATGGCTCTCCCTCAATCTAGGGCAAGCCAGCACTGATGGGAGACCCAGCACAGGAGAAACTCAGTTGCACTGCAGCTTTGCCCCTGGGTCCTGCATCCCTCTGAGAGCTGGGTGGCCTGCGAGCCCTGTCTGTACCGCAGCACACCAAGCCCGAGGCACAATGGAGATGGAGCAGGAGGAAAGCTGTGAGATGGGACAAGAGCGGGCGTGCGGAGGCATGTTTGCCCCCCATCAGTGGCAGAAACACAGTGAAGGCAAACCAATAAGTAAAGAAGAAATGGGTGTAACAAAAGGGGAGACAATGGGAGGGGAGGGTTTTCCACAGAGAATATGCAGGAGCACTACTAGATCCATCAGGAATCATTACAAACTTTATTCGTCTGTGCATTGTGTACCATTTATAAGGATCATCACAATTAGTGGACTCACTGCCTATAGTGGTGGGCAATACACACAAAAGAAAAGTCAATGAAGCCAAACAGATGAAAATGAAATCATTGTACATAAAGGTAATCATAAACCTGAACAACCTGCGCCTGGGTTTGATTCTTCCCTCAAAACAATGAGAAACAAAAAGACCCCCCCCCCCAAAAAAAAAAACCCAACTTGTCAAAAGTGAAAAAAAGGTTTGAGAAGAAAATAAAAACCAAACCCACAACTTCATTTTCCTGGAGAAAAACCTTACAACACGTTAATTAAAATTTCCACAGATGTTCAAGATGAGTACAAATACTCCCAGCCAATTGGTTATGGTACAAGCATCAGATGTGGTTTTCAGCTGGGTGGGAAAAGCTCATCAGCGGATGTGCAGGCTGGGCATTAGCCTGGCTGGGACACCAGGATGCCTGGCGAAGGGCATAGGGAAAGAAGACATCTCTCAACACCAGTGCACAATGTCATCCCTGTGCCGTGTGCAGGGGAGTTCTATGTCCACACCTTCCCAGGCTTGGCTCACTACCCCAGTCCACACTACTGGAGTTGGGAGGTGATGCTGAGTTACACCTCCCTGTCTCATCCTTCCCACTGGTTGCAGATTTGGACAGTGCAAAATGTGGCCTTTTTCCCTGGGGGACACTTCCTGGTTATGCTCCCAGTGGTGTGGGAGATCTTGGTACAGCCTTCAGCTCTTGCACTGAATTATTCTGCCTCCAAATGGCTGTGGGAAAGGACCAGCTTTAGGGACTGATCCTAATGGCTTAACGCTCAGAAACAGGGGCTGTCACTAGACCTCTGGGGACACAGGGAATAGCAGAGGGTTTTGAGGCAGCCACCAGCTATAAAGGCAGAGGCAGGCAAGGTGCTGGGAGCCAGTCACGCTCGTTCCCCTTGGGCTCAGCCACTGCTCATCCCACTCAGGTTCACTGGGACCTTGTGAAAACCTCCTGCAGATGGTGGAAGCCTTCACACCAGCTTCAGTATGTCCTGGACTGGCCAATGTGAGGGAACCCCAACCACATGGGGAGACAGAGCCTGCAGCCTCTGGAGTGTGGGTTTTCCTCCCCTGAAAACCTACATCTGCATGGCTGTTATTGCTTCTTGTGGACCCACATGCAGAGCAATAAATGGGGACAGCTTTCCCTCCTTATATTCCCACTAAGAGGAAACAAATGAACAAACAAAAAACCTATGGCAAAACTATAACTAAAATAAATAAAACCTGGTGAAAAGAAAACACTTGTATCTGCAATGCTCAATCCACATGGCTGGAAGGACTATCCTATAGGATGCTATATACAGATAGGGTTCATTTCATTCATGCAAATGTTACAAGTACCACGACAGCATGCCCGAGGAGGCGGATGAGGCAGGAGGAATGCCCCTGCAGCTCCGCACAGCCTCAGCTTAGGACACTGGACACGAGGTTGCGGCTGCGCATCCCCGAAGCACGGAGGGGAAGAGGTGAGGGGCATGTGGGGGGAAATGCTACTTGTACACACGCCAAAACAAAACAAAAAAACCCAACCCCAAATCAATGACGAAAACGGTTTGTGTTCTATCCTTAGAAAGCTCCCAATTTCCCCTTGTCTTCAGTCCGGTCTCTCGCTTCTCTCCAACAGGGCCAGAGGGGATGTTCCCGAGTGGTGAAGGCAGGCGGATGGTGGTCGGACATCAGGACCCTCACTTTCCTCTCCTTCCCTCGCCCACTGCTCTGTTTCTTACCAGCTACTCTGGCCTTCCCTGTACTGATGCACCCCGGTTGCCTTCGCATCCATCCTCCCGGGGAGCCAGCAGGCAGGAGAGAGCGATGGGAAAGGGCTCGGTGGCTACCAGCTGCTCTTGTTGGTAGAGTTGCAGAGAGGGCCCTGCTGCTGGGCTCCTGGCCGGGGCCGCTGCCCGGGGAGGGGTCCTGCTGGCTTTGGGGTCCTGCCTAGTTCAAAGGATGCTCCAAAGCCGCTTTCCGTCAGCAGGTGTGTGAACATGGCAAATCTCTTTTATTCTTTCTCTGTTCATTATACACAGCTTTATATCTATATCTATACCTATATATCATTCTATATAGATACATATAGATATACATATATTTACTATCTCTGATTGTCCCTTTAGAAGCCCTTTATGTGGCAGTAGGCTTCCAGAGATGAGAAGAATATGTACAAGAGCCAGAGGAGGATAAAGAGTGAGGACGTGAGCAGCTTGGAAGTCCGCGGCCCGCCCAGCTCACCTCCAATCTCAGGTCTCCGCCGGTAGAGCAGCACACCCACACTGATAAAAGCAAAAATGGTGAAGAGGGTGACGGAGAAGGCCAGGGTGCCAGGTGAGACTTGGAAAGCTTGTCCGTGCGCCGCATGGTAGATGGCTGCGATCGACCAGGCCACCCCGATGCCCAGGAAAACGTTCACGGCATTGCTCCCAGTGACATTCCCGATGGAGGCATCTGCATACTGGTCCTGCGTCGCTGCTACTTTGCTGGCAAAGGTGTCTGTAAAGGGAAGATGGAGAGAAACCTTCAGGAAACAGCCAGGTAAGGAGGGACATCACCAGGCAGCTTGGGGACGAATGTCCCTTTTGGGGAATGAAGATAGTGGGTAAAGGGACAAGGTACAGCCCTGTCTATGTGCACTCCCAAGTAAGGCACATCTGGCCAGAGCTAGCGTGACAGTCAGGGTCCAGAAATGCCTAGGAGGGAAATCATAATGTCCAGAAATATGGGACTTCCCCCACTATGGCCCCAGATGCTCTACAGTGATTCAAGCATGAGACAACACTTCTCAGTACTACCCTATATTGGCCCTTTCTCCCACATGCACTAATTTGTTGACTTGCAAAACACCTTAAAAGGTTGGAAAAGCTTTGTGGGTGCCACAGTGGTTTGTATTTGGTCTCCTGAAGTTTTCTTTTTGTGTCTTAGTGTTTGCTTTAATGATGTCTCTCCAAAAGCTTTTTCCACACTAAAGTCAGTGCCCTGTGCAGACCCTGACACTTTGGTAAGCAAGTGGTCATCTTTCACCCCATAGGGAGAAAAACCACGCAGGTGGGTGTACGCTTGCCTGAATTCTCCACCAGCTTTAATACTGGTGGCAAAAGAGCTGTGATAAAACTCAGCTAGCCTTTTATATGGCAGATCTTGTGTCAAGTAGACCAGCACGATGCTGCTCTGCACCATAGGAAAGTGTTGATTTTACATCCAAACACACTCTGGATCTGCAGGGGGGTGAGTAGGAGGGGGATAAGCATCTGGGTTTTGTCTGGGTGAACTCTCTGAGCTGACAATGAAATGAATCCTTAACATGTCTGCACTCCCAGATCACCTCGGCTACAGGCAGCAGAGTGTAGCTCAGAAAGAGAAAATGGAGAGGTCAGGTTTCATGTTTCTAATTCTACAGAGTTTCCTTTACACTCCTCAGTGGGGCTCCAAGGTGAGATGGTGAAATGCAGCCTGGCACAAAGACCCAGTTTCATGTAACAGGAGGGGCTGGGCACCTATAAGCACAGCGAGAGTGGGCATTTGCAGCAAAGAAGTCAAAAGGCTGATTTATTTTTTAAAGAAGCTCTCATGGAAATGCATCTGACTGCTGAGGGAAGGAAAAGGCAATTCCCCTTGTTCTCAGCCTTGGTTACAGTGCAGTAAAGGGGCTGTGGGGCAGTGGTGATGCCTCTGTGGCTCTCCAGGTGCCCCCATGGGAGGAAGAGGATGAGCAAAGGAGGCTGGGTTGCAGCAAGTCAGTGTGCATTGGGAGGACAAAGTAGCATGTAGGTATGGAACTCGTGGTTGTTTTCTCTCCCTGGTCAGTCCTCAATCTCTGTGTCTTCTGGGGCCGGGTGACCACCCAACTGGAGACACGTCTCCAAACATTTGTGGGGTCAGGGCCTTCTGGGGGCTTCATAAATCGCATTTTGAGCAACCTCGCCTTGATCCATTTGAGCCAAAGCTGAACCTGGTCTCACACAAAGGTGTCCATGCTAGGCAGTGTGCCCTGAGTATGGCCTAGTACCTAACTCACCTGGAAGGCAAGGTTAAAGGAGCAGATTCTGAGAAAGAAAGTGCAGGATTGCCAACATAGACAGCATTTTAATGGAAAACCAATTTCCTACTCTAAAAGTGGATGTCATGGAGGCTGTCCGCAGAAACAGACACCTCACAGTCTTTGCAAGGGGAAGGTCCTTGAAATAATTTCATCTTGGTTCAATCCTCCTGGCCCATCTGAGAATGAAAACCAGCTTCCACATACACCTGAAATCTGTCCTCAAGGGTCCTGCACAGCACAGCCAAGGACCTTGCTGTTCCCAGCTTTTCCAACCCAGACCCAAACCCAGGCTGGACAGAGATGGACCTTTACAACAAACCCTGCTGTTGGCCTTACCTGGCACTGATGTCCCCAGCGCGACAAACACGACTGCGGTGACCGAGTCCTTCAAGCCAATGGTGCAGCCAAAGTGGGATGCCAGGTCACCGATGAAAGCTGTCAGGAGGCCGATCATGAGGATGGAGACAACGAAGCAAGCCCAGCCATTCCAGTAGTCTGTTGGGGGCACGAAGGCAAAAAGGACCTTCCAGAAGACGGTCAGAAAGTGCATCACATAGTCAAAGCAGGAGGGCAGCTTCTCCTCCCCACATTCATCGTCATCGTCGTCTTCACCTGCAGAAAACCACCAGTGCCTGATGAGACTTGCCCATCCTAGGGGAGGCTGGGCAAAGCTCCCATGCATTCTGCATACTCCTGCTTGTGCTGGAACCACCCCTGGGCATGAAGAGGAGGTGACACTTTCCCAATTAAATCAGTGGGAGTTTTCCTGCTGCCCTCAAGGAACAAAGATGGATTTCTAAGCCACAGATGTTGGAGATTCCAAGGCAATTGCAAGTTGAGTTAAAGACATACCTTGCACTTGGGTTGGTGATTTGTCATTGCCTTTAATGCATTTTTTTCCCTCCAAGCATGTGGAACAGCAGATCTCCCTGCCTGGCTGTCAGCAGAGCTTCTTACCAATGGGTAACACATGATATGTTACCTCATGAGCACACAATGTGCTGTTCATCCCCATCAGACAGCACGACTGAGCTTGGCTCTCCTTCCCCAGAGAACACCTCTGGATGGCGGAAAGAAGTCACTAAGTTCCACAGTAGCCAAGAGCACGCAGTGAAACCAGAGCCTTTGCTCTGCTCCACCACAGTGGATGAGAGGACAAGGTCCCATCTTGCCAGACGCTGGGTTCAAGTCTGCTTCTCCCAGCAGCCACAGTACTGATGAGCCTGGCATAAGCATTTGAATGAGACCATGCTGCTTTTATCTGCCCCACTGCTGGCCAGGGTGGACATTTCTCCTTTCACATCTTCCTTCACAATGTGGATGTTTAATTGAGTAACAAGATGTATAAAGCCTCCACAGGGAGGATAAAATGGTCTTGCTTTTTGCTGTGTACCAGCATGTGCCTATCAATGAATCCCGTGTTTAAATAGTGGCTCTGTGCCATGACAACAGGGTTCCTGGGGGAGCTGCTGGTGCACATGCCGCACACAGTAGCAAGAAAAGCAAAAGGCCCAGGGATCACTCAGACCACGATCACCCTCAAGAGATTTGGTAACCTGTAAGGGGAATCAACCTGCTCTTGGTCTGGGGCAGCTCTAGCATACGTAAACCTCGCACTCTGCTAGCATCCTTGGGGTTCTCAGCAGAGATGCAGCTGCAGGAGAGAGTGTAGTGACAGAGCCACGGGGAGCAAGAGAGGAGGGAACCCCTAATGCAGATGTCTCTGTACACAGGGCATATGGCATCCCACATGAGGGCTGGGCTGAAGTTAGAAGGCATTCAAACTGGGCCCCCCAAGATGACTGGAGCCTGGAAGGTGTTTCCTATGGGGAGAGGTGGAAGCAGCTGGCTTGGGGAAATAGGAGAAAAGGAGGTTGGAGGGAACTAAGCAACAGCATTCAGCAACTTGGAGGGCATGTGCAGAGAGGAGGAAGCAAACTCTCTTCTGTGCTGACAGAGGCAATGGCCACAAACTGCAGCTTGGGTGGTAACATCAGGAGATAACATTTTCTCCAGGAGGGTGGTGCAGCCCTGGGACACATACCCTGGCTGATGGACATCATCTTCAATATTCAGTTAAAAAAAGCCATGACCAACCAGGGAAAACTCCTACCTAGCACCCTGTTGGAGGGAAATTTTGCACAATTCTTTTTGTATTAAAAGCACCTTTGCAGATCAAGACCAACAGATAAGACAGAGGCAATGGGAAACTTGGTGTCTCTACAATAACTTGCTGGAAAATGATATGTTGCTTGGCTCGAAAGCTTCAAATTCACTATGACAGAAACAGTAGAATCAGTGTCATGATGGTATTATTTTGGCAGATATAAATATCCTATTCCTGTGCATTGTTGTGAAGACAAGGAACAGTTTTCAGCCTGGGAAGCTTATGCTGGCCTCCCCCACCCCATTGCACAAAGGCTGGTACTGGCAGGCTACACTGTGCTGTGCTGTAATTTTGCAGCAGGTATTTTAATCCCCTCCCAAGCTGCATGGCAGCAGGACTGTCATGGATATAAACCTTCAAGGAAATAATAAAACAGGCTGAAAAATGAACATGGGTTCCACTGTCATAACACTCATCCAGATCTGTCTATCATTTCCTTAAGCAGCAATAGCATCTCTCTTTCAAATTGCTGCCCAGATCCTGTGTAGGTGACTTGAAATGCAGAGTGAGGTCGAGTGGTGACCTAGGGGTGCATTCAGGAACCGGCTCACAAACCCCATGATGTTTTTGCTCCAGAAGAAACCTGATGGGCTGTTGGTGCCCCATGGACAGCATAGGATGGTCTGACCACGGTGTGGCACAATCCTGCCTGAACCAGCACTGCCCTTCCACAGACCTGACCTGCATTGCCAGCAGTTGATCACTGGATGGGAAATGGGGTTTTAATGTTTCTTTTCTCAGCTGGGATGTTACCTTTTGAAGTGTGACTTTCACCTGCCCTCCATGATGGGATGCAGGTAAAAATTTAAACCCTCAGCACGAAGTTTGAGGAGCTAAATCCTGGCAAAAAAAAAGTAGGTCCAGATCTCTGATAAAAACTGCTGTTCCCCAAGTGCAAGGGACAGCTCATGTCCACCCAAAATGCCACTTTTATTATATGTTTATTAATCGTCCTGTTAGCACTGATGGTGGCAACAGGGCTTTCACTTGACTACAGTCTTTACATGTGTCACAGAGATCGGATCCAAGTAGCAGTGATTACCTTTGCTTTAATATAGAATGCAATTAAATAATTGATTCTGGCATAGATTAGTTGAGCTACAAAACCTTCAGCAAGGACTGTCTTGCGTGATATGTTCATGCTGTATCCGAAATAATGGGAAGCTTTTGGCTGGAGGCTCTAAGAATAGCTATGCTACAAGAGGAGACATCACATTTTGAGGAGATAGCTGCTGCACAATGTCCTGTCCTCATTTTCAGAGGTGGAGGGGTAAATGGAATGGTAGGGCCATCCCTTTTAATTACGTTGTGCTGGGCAGAGGTTACCCTGTACAGCAGAGCTTGAGCTAGGAAGGGAGAGTGCTTCCCCATGCATTTCAATGCACAATTAGTCAAATGAGCTCAGATTGCATTCCCCAATAGTTTAATTTAAGCTCATTGATTTTGTCCTAATGTGTGTGCAACCCAGGCCGGGCTGTGAGGTTGTAACATCCAGCTAGTGAGTTATAGTACCTCCAGCTCTTAGAAATACATCTGGAGGGGACCTCCTTTCTTTCAGATGTGGGAATACTAATTTGTGCTACACTGGGCATACTGGTAACTGTAGTACTGGCACCTGTGAGAACAGTACAACAGGGCATTTCTGAGGGAAAAGTAATTCTCCAAGAGAGGGAAGATATGATCAGATATGATCTATAGAACCACAAGCATCACATGCTGCTGCCACTATTGGCCTGCTGAGCCATACCTCCAGCCTCAGCTGGCTGAAGCAGAAGGAGTTCCTGAAAGCCAGGGATCAAGGGCAAATTTTGGTCCACAGATTTGGGATTCAGTGGCTGTCTTCGGGGCTTGGCACCCTCACTACTGCGGTGAGGACAACATGGTACTGTGGGGAACACCAAGGATGGGAAGCACTGCTGGCTGCACCAGCATCATTTATACCACTCTACATTTAAACATTGTATTTGCCTCCCAGATCTCTCCCACTGAAATGAGTTTTCCCCTTTGCCATTTGGCAACAGTCAGGCAGTTTCTCTTCCAAACACAGCGCAGGAGGTTTCCTACACATCAGACAAGGTGCTCTCACAAAAGGCTTTACTCAGCAGTCTTATTTATGCAGACCTTGTAAATTACTCTGCCACCTGGTTTGCCTATGGCTGCTCCACTATGGTCTGTATTAATGATACAGCAAAGTGGAGTCACAAGCAAGGTTGATCATAATTCACCAGGAGTTGTGGTCCAAACTCACCTGCGCTAACAGTAATAGCCTCAATAAACTGCTCCCTCCAGCTGTTTGTGCCAACCACCAGGGCCAGGTTTGTCTTCTTAATGAGCTTGTCCACTGTGTTCTGCAGATGGAGATTCAGAGGAGACAATTAGGGACTATAGGGCTAGAGATGCTGGGCTAAAACCCACTGGCACTACTGCTCACAGCCATAAACTTATGGAAAAAGCTTAGCAGATTTTAAGCTCGGGCCAACAGCTCCAGCAGTGAAAGCGAATGTAAATACTTGCAATTCCCCTTAGTGCTGCTCAAAAAGACCTCCTGAAACCTGCTCATGATAAGAGTCTGAACCATCTCAGTGAAGGTTTAACAACAAATGGTGCTGAAGTGCCAGGGCCTCAGGAAGAATTTTTACTGAGCAGCAGCAGCAAAGCATTAACTGGGGCTTGATCAATGCCCATTTGAGAAGCTGTGCTCTACCTAGGAGTTCCAGGCTCAGGGCTCACTCAAGACTGCCTGTAAGTAAGACCTGGGGGTAGCACACCACTGTGAGAACAAGGTTATTATTTTAAAGCCACCTGCATCATTTTGGAGCCCAGTCAGCTCTTAGGCTCACCAGATTGATGTGCTTGTACAATAATAATAACCACCACAAACAGTCTGAATGGGACAGAAAGTCTGGCATCATCCCCCAAGGACCATGGCTGTGGGCTAATGGACAGAGTGAGGATGCAGAGTGTATTTTAACCCACCACCATCTCACTGGAGTGACCCTCACCCTTTCATCATGCCTTGACTTGACCATCTTTCAAAGCACCCCTTGGTCTTGCTCTGTGACCTTCTGATGCCAGGAGCTGCCTTGCTTTGCTGTGATTCCATGAACATGTGCTTGCCTGTGCAAACCCAAAAGGAGGGAAGGGAAGAACAGGAACAAGGGACATGGACAGTACCTTGAACTCGTAAGATTCCTCAATGATGACTTCGAGCTTGGTGTGCTCCCCCAGGACCGGGCGCCCCATTTCCGCGATCCGACGCTCTTCTTCCTCCTTGCTGGTCAGGGGATGCTTTTCTTCATTCTCCTCTGCAAATCAAAGAGCCCATAGGTGAGCCAGGCCCGGCTGGTCACTCTCTGGAGCTGGCTTCCCATCAGAGGGGAAGGTCAGGAAGCCTCCGGGTGGGAGCATGAGCGACAGAGCAGCTGAGAAGGAGCAGGTCATGGAGCAACAGAGAAGGTAGTACAGGTGGGAAATGCTGATAAGGTCTGTAACCTCAGAAGTTCACCCTCACAGGTGGGGAATAGCTTATCACTGGTACTTGCTGTCTGTCCCATAGGGACACTGAGAGGGGATAGATCATCACTAAGGCTGCTTTATTTTCCAGGTCTGCATCAGAGCATGGACTTAATTTCTCTCAGCCTTTTACAACCAGAGAGAGATGCCAGCAGCCCCAGGGCTGAGAAGGGTATGAAATCTTGGCTCTGCCTCCTTCTAAGCAGATCTTTACCTTAGGGAGAGGGCTGCCAGCTGGAGAGCATGAAACTCCTGCTGCAGTCTTGGGGCTGGAGGAAATAGAGCTGGGCCATACAGGTGTGAGGAGCCATGCACAGGGCATGGCCTGGCCTCGTGCCCTGGGAGACAAGGCAGTGGAGGAACTGCAAGACCAATGGAGGAGGCCAGCATCTCCACTGGCATCCATGCAAGCTGTGGGACATGGGGACCTCAGCCAGCATGGCTTTTGTCACTGTCCCTGCATAGACCCTTACTGAGTCCCCTTCCATCCCAGGGATGAGCAGAAGGACATCAGGGCTAAGAAGGGCTGGATTCAATTGAGACAGGAGTTAAGCTATCAGTAGGCAAACACCCCAGTCAGTCCATGTTAGACCACCATGGCCCTTGGGCATCACACTGCAGGTACCTTGGATGGTGATCACGGTGCAAGGAAGAGGATGATCTCTAGGCTGGACCTTCCTGAAGATGGGTTTGCCTATCAAAGCGATCAGCAGGAGATCAGCAGGAGGGACCGTACACCCCACACAAGCCACTGCCATGTGGTTAGTAAACTACTCCTACTTCACACAGTGTTAATGTTGCTGCTTCTTGGTTGCACAGACAGCACCAAACCACCAAAAAAGCCCTTCTCCTGATGGTCAAAGGGACTGACCCTATGGCCAGAGCCTTGTTAGTCTGAGTTATTTTTTCCAGGGCTCCTGAAGGACTGCTCTGCAATATGTGGGACCTGGAACCTTCTCCTCCTGAAGTGCTTGGCCTAATGACAGATGCTCAGCTGGCTAATGACGAAGGAGCAAACCTTGCTGCCATGTCTCACTGGTGGTAAGAGCAGGGGATGAGTACCTGAAGCAGCCTCAAGCTGCAGTAGGGCCGGTTTAGATTGGATATTAGGAAAACATTCTTCGCCGAGAGGGTGCTCAGGCATTGGAACAGGCTGCCTAGGGCAGTGGTGGAATCACCATCCCTGGAAGTGTTCAAAAACTGTGTAGATAAGGCCTTAGTGGCATGGGTTAGTGGTGGACTTGACAGTGCTGGGGAACGGTTGGACTTAATGATCTTAAAGGTCAACCTAGCTGATTCCATCATCTATGGTTCTATGTGGTCCCACACCTCCCACAGTGCTCAGGCACTGTGAGGACAGGCTTCCTGCTCCGTGCAGAGTCCTGCGCACACCTCTTGTTTGGGCAGCAGGGAGGGCTGGACCAAATGGAGAAGCCCTCCCTTCTCCAAGAGATGGAGGGGGGCTGCCTGTCATTGCAGGGGTGATGGCTGACTCTCCCTGAGGTGGGTTAAGTGCATGTGGCAGGCAGAGCACTCCGTGAAAGGACACTGTTAGTGTGACCGGCTGTGGCATGGCACCTTCTTACCCTTCCAGAGTTTCCCTCCAGGGCAGAACAAAAGCAAAGAGGAAACCAAGAGGAAAGAGCAGGGTAAGCATATGGACATTAAGAAGAGGGTAAGGAGGGGTGGGGGAAGAGCAGAAATCCATACCTGTGATGGTGAAGCCACCTAGATGAAACCAAAAATATGGGAGAGAGAAAGAGAAAGAGAGAGGGAGAATTAGTATTGGCACAGCAACACAGACACCCTGCGGCCCACAGGGACATGGTGATCCTTCCCTGACCACAATGGGGACTGTGGACATGGGGAGCTTCTCCCCAACACACACCCCTGGGACAGTGGTAGGGAGACCTGAACACAGGCTTTTCAACCCACATCTGCAAGCTGCCTCTCGCCAGTATCTAATATATGCTGTGGATTGGGTCAAAACAGTGTGAGCCTGCTTTGGGGCTAGGGGTATTTCAGGGAGTGAGGGCACCTTTGCTTCCTTCCCTGCTGTTCTATCCTGGGGATGGCCAGCAAGGAAACTCAGGGGCTGGGTGAGCTCTAAATCTCCCCAAGACTGGAGGCAAAGTTTGCACCATCTCTTCAAAAGGGGTTGGCCAAATTTCCTGTTGAGCCGCAAGCATCCCTAAGTCACCAGGCAATCCTTCCTCTGCCATGTAAGAGGCAATGGGTTAATTTGCATGGTGCGGGTTTGTAACGCGGGGTATTGGCAGTTTACTATGACTGTAGAAACACCACCCCCAGAAATGCTCCTTGCACAGTGTGTTACTGCTTGTTAACAGTAGTGACTTTGAGGCTCTGCACCAAGGAAAGATGTGGCATTAGATACCTGAGCTTACTTAAATAGTGCTGACCACCCTAAAAGAGAATGGCGTGAGCAAAGGAAAACATCAAGCAAAATCAATTCTTGTCAGAAAATATGCAAACTGGAAAAATGGAAAAGAAAAAACGAATGCACGCTTACCAAGCTCATTCAACAACAGGGCTGTGAAGGAGACAGACAGAGACAAACACAGAAGAAGAAAAGTAAATGAATAATGAAATCAAAAGGGATATCCACAGAAAGACTCCAGATCCAAGGGAAGACATTTCAGACCTGTAAAGCTGCAGGATACCATTAGTGTTGAAGGCACTAAAAATAAAGGAACAGAAATGTCTCATGGAACTATGGATTTTAAATAAAAACTCTTGCAAACATGAGGTGGATATGGGATTACAAGGCACACTTCCAAAATTCATTTTCCCCCTTTGAATTGCATGTGCAAGATCTTCCATCGGCCTTGGGAGGCAGTTCTGCCCCAGGGGAGGATACAAGTTGTCCCATGTACAGTGGCTACTGGCTTTGACCTCCTCCACCTGCCTAATGGGGAACAATAGTTCCAGCATGTAGCTGTGCTTCTGATGTATATGACACAAGAAAAATTCTTGGCAAGGCTTGGCTCAGGGATCTTGTTGCTCAACATTTTAGGTCTCCAAAGAAAAAGCCTCTCCCTTAATGTACCAGTTTGTCTCTAGCCCCTGCGGTGCAGACCCCACCATAGCTACATGGCCCAAGGGCAACATTTCAGAGATGCTCTCATCTCCAGGGTGCCAAGCACATTGCTTGCTCTGTCTCACTGCCTCTTGTACAAAACCAAGCACAAAAAACGAGTTTAAAATAAGTAAATAAATAAATGAAATCGTTGCATGGCCAAAGCAGCAAACAGCATCCTTTCAAATCTTGGCTTGCCTTTGTTAGTGAGTCTGCAAAGCTGATCTTCACTCAGATTTCCTCTGTTACCTATGTGACCAAGAAGATGAGGGGCTTTCTTTCCTTTTCCTTTATTTTTAATTTCAGCTGGGACCTCCTGGGTTGGCACAATGATTATCAAACCTGGGTCCTGGAAAGCATGTTTCCTCCCGCCAGACTCGTAAGGCTGAGCCCACACTGGCCCCCAAGAAGGTAAGTAAGCTGGAGCCACTGATCTTACCTGTCCATGTGTCACTTTATCCTGGCAACACCGGCTATGTTCCACAGATGCCATCAGCATCATTTAATGATACGAATCCCACTAGCAGAGCCGGGCCATGTCAGTATGTCTGATTTTTTAGCCCTGCTTCTGGTAGTTGGTCACATAAATCAGCAGGAAATCTGGTGCAGCTGACCTAGATGGCGCCTGCACTGAAGGGGAATGTGACAACACTGCCTGATGTGCTTTCAGACTGAAATATAGTTGCAGGTCCCCACTCAGCATGGGGACCACTGCAGGCCCTTTCTGTCCTGAACAAATAATGTATTACAGCCCCATGCCTGCTGAAGGGAGAGCTTATGTCCCAGAAATTAGGAAGCAGCTCCAAGGCAGACAGACCAAATCCTGCTGCCAATTTTTCACAAAGGCTTTAATGAGGGTCTGTTGTAGGGCAACTAATTATCTTAAGTAACTCTAAAATTGCTTCTGCTCAGCCACCAATAGTGCACAGAATTAGCTGCTGCCATTAATTTTCACTTAATTTCCTAGCAGAAAAATAATGCATAGAAAAACAAGTAAACTCTGTATTTTCGGGAAGTTTTGCAGTTGGTTAAGAGATGTGCTGAAAGAGGAAATTGTTTTTATTAATCCTATGAGAAGCTATTATCCAGTGCAGAGCCATGAAACTTTGAGTATAACCTGATTTCTCCTAGACTGATTGCATCTTATGGTATTACCTGCTTGTGCCGTGATTCTTACCTATTTTCGGATCCTAGTGCCAGTATAAAAAGGCTGGAATTACTGTTCTGGCCATGCATTTTATCTCCAGAGAAAACTATTTTATGTTCTGATAAAAATAATGCAGCATTGCCTTTTAAATTCTCAAGACTGAAGTTTCTACTCAATTAAATGAATGTGTAGCTGTGATGTGGCAGGGTATTGCTCTCAAAATGTCTCTGGTGGTGCTCACTGTCCCTTGCCTGGGTGCTCTGGGAGTCATCCAAGGAGCTCATCTTGCTCCTGGGGTCCCTTGTGAGTGAGACGGAGTCCTCCCGAAATGAAAGAGGAAAGAAAACAGAGCAAAAAGTGGCCAAGCTTCAGAGGAGGGAGGGCAAAACGGCCGGGAGCCAAAGTGCGAGGAGAAAGGAGTGTGAGAGTAGGGAGACACAGAGAAAGCGGACGGCAGCGTCTCGAGAGCTGGTCTGGTTTTACTCTCACACCTTTCACTCCTCGTCGTAGCCACACCGGGTCCCCAAGCACAAGGAAGAAACTGCACTCTTTCTCATACTCCTCACGGTCAAGTACTCTAAGGGTAATGAATTTCCTGTGGGAACACAAGACAAAGGCAAACACATGATTGGCATCACACATGCATGCAGTTCACATCTGCCCGGGTGCCGTGGTGCCGGAGATGGTTGGATGGGGGAAAGCGGCTGCACATCCCTCCTGGGGCGTATGGGTAAGGGCAGGAGCATCCCCTCCACCTGGCCATGGTTGGACCATGGTGGGATGGGGCATGTCTGATTTGAGGGGAGATGGGAAGTGTCCTCACTCCTGCCCTTTTCCATAGGCATTGGTGATGTGAGCTCGGTGTTGCATGTGCCAGGTATGAGTGAGCCAGACAGGGACACACAGGCTGGGCTCAGCCCCGGAACACGTCCCCCACCTTTCTTCTCACTCATCTCCACCAGCCGGGGCTCCCCGATCTCTAGGTAGAAGGTCTTGTTTTTCTCATACTCCTCATCATCTATCACCTTGATTGATATCGTTTTGCTGGAACAGAGAAGAAGAAATAAAGATTCAAGAGTAAGGGGGAAAAAGGGAAGGGGGGAGACAGGGAGGAGGGTAGAAATGGCAGGAGAAGGGTGCTGCAGACATAAAACAGCGGGTTTGGTAGCACAGCCTGGAAGGGGCAACACAGCTGAAAGCAAAGGGCAGGAGCTGATCGGCCGAGGTTGCTTCAGGATAAGCATAGATCACAGGATCAAAGCACCAGCAGCTCATGGGGTTCCATCCTCCCCGGCACAGCCAGGGACCATGACTGGATATGACACAGCCTGGACCAGCCTCCTCTAGAAATGCCTCAGCACAGGAGCAGCAAGACAAGTTCCTTTCCAAACACCCAGGGTACAGAACAGTTTGCACACACTGCTTGGGCTCCTGGGGGCATGAGCACTGGGAGCCAGCACAGATCAAGCCTCTGAAAGCACAATTCACTGCTTAAACCATCCCCTGCGCACAGAAAAGGCTGTCTCACCAGGAGTAGCAGATCTATGCACAACATCGTGATGACCTGATCAGTTTGGGCTTTGAAGGCTCCAATTTACAAGCGCGAAAGAGATGCTGGAGTTCGGATATTTTCTGTGCAGGGAACATATGGGAAAGATGGCCTTTCTGGTTAGGACAGGCTGAAGGAAAGCTTTACTGAGAGTGAGATTTCACTTCTTTATTTTCCTTTGCAAGCACCACATCCTTCCCCAAGCCTCAAAAGTTTGGTGTTTTCCTGTTAGAGAGTATTGAAGCAAGTCTCTCTTCTCACATGGCCAGGGCTGCTGAACTTGCCCCTGTGTCATCAGCAGGGCAGGTCCATAGGCAGAGCTCCTGCTCAGAGCACAGCCACGAAGCATGCACCATGAAGGGCAAATGCCTCGCAGGAGGCTGTGGCCATCAGCAGAGATTTACTCCTTGGGGCACCCCATAGAGTGAAAATTGCTTTACCAGGATTAAAAAAATAGCACAGAAGCTGTTTTCCAGCTCTTTTCAGGGACTCATCATGTAAGTGATCCAGAAACCCAGCTGAAAGCCGCTTGCCAGAAGGTGACTAAACCTGAAGTACAAGAGGGAACTGGGTAGGAAGGGGACACAACACTACTCTGATCTTTCCTATAGGGCAAAGCCCTCACAAAGTCATGATGTGGGACATAAATCCAGCATCCCCTGCTCCCACCTGGAGCTCCCTGTTCACTATTCACATGGGACAGGATCTCCTGCTGGCTCTGACCTTGTCCCACAGAAGGAATAAGAAGGCAATACCAACAAGAAACCAAAAGGCAATGGAGTGACTGTTTGTAGCCCTCTGCTTGCAGGTGACCTCCTGGCTGGGTTTGCTTCTCCACTGCTCTTGTTGGCCCTGCCCACCTGTGAATGCTCTTAAACCAGTCACAGTCACTCTCTCCCTGCCCAAGCTTCATGAGAATGCTTCAGAGAAAAAGCCTCTTGTCCCATCCCTGACTCCTCTGTGCTTTCCATGGGCAGCCAGCAGAAGCCAGAGTAGCCCTGAGGCTGATCTAATATATAATCAAGGAGGTTCCTAGCAGGTCCCAGCGCTGAAACCCCATAAACATGGAAGAAAGCCACACTCTAGGGGAGCGAAATTCAGGCCATGCTGCCGTAATTTCTGGCTTTCTCCCTTCCTTGCACATCTGTACTGCCACCCAGAGCCCCTCTGTTAAGCTGACAAGTATCTGGCAGCAGAGTTGACACTATATTCAGAGCAAACACCGCCAAGCACTCTGAGGAACAGCCAGGATGATTTCTTGTGCTGTTTGCTATGAGTCAGAAGTGCATTAAGTTTGCCCTTCATGCTTATAATGAAACCATTTACTCAAGAGCAAGCGATGGCTATGAAAATTGTAACAGTGCAGCACGGCTCGGTGAATTGTATTTTATAATGAATATCTGTAATAATTTGTTCTGTTTATAATTATTTCTGCAATAAGTTTGTACATAGGAAAAAATGGTTACCAAGCACACAGCTGATCTTGCTTTGCATTGAAGAGTTAGGGGAAATTATTGTGCATTAAAAAACTAATGAAGGATGCAAAAATGCTCTCAGCAACGCTCTCGAAGAGGACCTGACAGAATTAACGGAATGGCATGATTTCAAAAGCATTACTAACAAAATCAGTAATTTTCTTGAGAACTCCCATTAAAATGTACACTGCACCCTGCCCCCATGTATGAAAAAAGGCCTTTCTCAGGAAAATTAATTTAAAAAGCTGCCTTCATCAATTCTGAAGGCAGCAAACGTATCAAGATATAAACTTCCTATGGGCGTCCTCTGCCTTGCAGCGTGTGACCTTCCCCAGAGCCCCACAAAATAATTCTCACCAGTGAAAAACCCTGTTACTAATGCTTATACCCAGCATCAATAGGGCTTCCTTGAATAATGTGGCCTCAGGGCCTTAAATGCCACTGCCAGAGGGTGCTGCTATTCTGTAGTTTTCCAGGTGATCTTTGTAGGATGCGAGCAAGTGCTCTTTATTGGGTAGATATGTGCATGGCTGCTGTTCCTGCTGTAAAAGGTTGCTGGGGAAAGGGGTGGGCAAAACAAATGCTAAGTCTGCTCTCTGTGGGCAAGAATTGCTGAGGTCAGTTTGTCCCTGGGATGAGATTGCAATCCCAGAAAAAAGGATTTCCTCCCGATAGTGTTTGAGATCACATCTGTTTGAGAAATAGTGAATTATGTGAAAATAACACAGGCTATTCTTAGAGCATACCTGATCTCCACTGCGCTGCCTTTTGCCTGCTGCAAACCCCCTCTGCAGCCATGCATGTGGCAGGGTTTGATCAGTGGGGAAGGAGGAGGATGTGGCAGCTCCGCACTGTATCTCTACTGTAATTTAGGATGTGCACTGGTTGCACTGATGACACCCTGCTCTTGCAGGATCCTCTGACATGGTCTCTGCTTCTCACTCCTCTCCCAGGCAGAGATTTGCTGGATAGCAAGGCTGTAATAATGTAAGCAGCATTGAGCTAATATAGGGCTGTGTCCATGGCCCGTGCATTTGCAGCCATTGTTCCCAGTGGCTTTGCTTAGTCCTGTGCTCTTGCTGCATTCAGTGTCCAGTTTTGTAAGCCTACTGCCTGCAGTCCTCCTTTCCAGAGGTACGTAGAACCATAGGGTTATTTGAGTTGGACCTTGACCTTAAAGCTCATTTGACCTTAAAGCTCATAAATTGACCTTAAAGCTCATTCAGTTCCACCCCCCCACCACAGACAGGGACACCTTCCACTAGAGCAGGTTGCTCCAAGCCCCATCCAACCTGGCCTTGAACACTGCCAGGGATGGGGCAGCCACAGCTTCTCTGGGCACCCTGTGCCAGAGCTTCTCCACCGTCACAGGAGAGAGCTTCTGCCTAAGATCTCATCTCAGTCTCACCTCTGTCAGTTTAAAGCCATTCCCCCTTGTCCTGACCCTACAGGCCCTTGTCAAAAGCCTCTCTCTGGCTTTCTTGTAGCCCATTTAGGTACTGGAAGTTGCTGTGCAAGGCTGATTTTCTTGCCTTAGAATACATGGTGTGAATGAAGCAGACCAGGAGTGCCTGGCAGAGCCAGGACAGCTTGCTGAGGCTCATGGTGTGATGTGGGCTGCAGTGCTGAGTGCAGCAGCTGAGTTGTCTGCTCTTTGGTTTCCCTGGCCGAACACAGTGGGATGAAGTATGCCAATACCTGAAGTCCCAACAGTGCAAGTATGTGCTGAAAGGTGCGCTTAAAATCTTTCTCCTGTGGCTTGGGGACTCTTTCAGCACCACAAAAGGGACGGTATATCACCCTGAAAAACCCACTGCTGAGTCACTGCAGGGACAGAAACCAGGAGTCCCAAATCCATGGGACAGAGGGAAAAACCCAGAATATTAAAATAGAAGATTAAAGAAGCCTCTAAACCATTGCACATTTTCTTCTCCTCATGTAAATCTGGGGTCAATCTAGATGGCGTTTCCAAGCTGTTCCTCAAGTTTCCCCAGAGGTCTGGAATCAGCTTTGATTTGAGGATGAAAGTGGTGTTTCTGCCATAATCTAACATCTCCAGGAGCTGGGAATTTAAGCCAAACACTCAGGATCCCATGAGTGTGCAACACCGCAGCCCTTGAAAAAGCTGAATTTTTTTTCCTGCCTTGTCCCTTGGTCACACTGCGGGTGGGAAAGAACAATTCCTGGAGCATCTCTCCAACAGATTTAGGTGTAGGGGGGTAGAGGTCCCCCTGCTGACCCAGGTTGTGTGTTGGCCTAAACCACCAGGCTTGGCACATCTCCTGCCTTCCTCCCCGCCACTGCAGTAAGCCCCAGTGACACCATGGGCCAATTTTGCAGCAAACCACTGCTGCTGCTGGGGTTCTCCTTCCATTGGTACTGAGTTCATTTCACCTGAGCTAAAGAGCCCTGCTCTGGCATGAAGGCTGAAGGCATCCATAGTGCATTCAACTGCCTGCATTTCTGTACTGGAGATTGCTCTTCCCTGAGCCTTCAGCCAAGGCAATTGCTGAGGGAATGAGTTTCATCTCATTTCCATGTACGGGAAATCAAAGAATAAAACAAATCTTGCAGAACTGCAGCTCCAGCTCTTCTCCTCTTGCTGACACCCAGCACCAAAAAGAGAAGGATGGTGTCTTCGTGAACATTGCATACAAATCTTTGACATCGTTCCAGGTCCAATACTCTCCATCAGGATTTATTCATTTCAAACCATTCTATTTCATTTGAACTGTAAAGGTGTTTTAACAGAGCATTCCTACATAACCCTTAGTTACAACAGCCCACATAAAAGTCCTCCTGGCTGATGATGCTGGTGCCCCAAGGGAAGAGCTGCTACACCCTATCAGACCCAATGGCCATCCAGCACAGCCTCTTCTTCTACCTGCCATGAGCACCTTGGAGTAGGAGGATATAAGAGCAGGATGGGCATATATACAGCATTTCAAACTGATGCTCTCCCAACTCCCAGATTTCCCTAGCCAGACCAGGTTTCTGTGTGTTTAGCTGATTTCTCCCAT